GTTATTAGGTCTTGGTTATTTATATATACATATATATATATTTAAAAAAATAAGCTGTTAGATATATCTTATGTTTAATAACTGTGTAGAGGCAACATTGATTCTTATTTATTTTGGGGAGGAGAGGGAAAAAAGACACAGAAACCCTGTAAGTGTTCATTTTGTGACTTTGAGAAAGAAGAATTGCCGCCTTTYTTCCTCCTCCTCAAGAGTTATGTGACCAAGTGTAACTTATTCTGGCCCAAGCTCAAAGGTTAAACAAACAAAAAACGTGGTTTTACGCGTGGAAGACAAAACACARTGAGAAGTATTTCTTGACTGAGATTTTAAGAATGTAGGCTTAGYATTAGTGTTCAGCTCTTTTATGACCTTCGATTGCTGCTCGTTGGGTTCCTATGAGTGTATGTTGTATCGCAAGATTATTTTTTTTTAATGATAATGTTGGATGAGTTCTTTTTTGTTGTTGTTGTCGTTGTTGGTTTTTTTAATCGTTTTTCCCCTTCTTGGACCAGTTTTACTTGTACATAGGTTTGAAGATTAAAAAAGAATTTTTAAAGACACAACTGGGGCAAAGACCTTTGACTTCTGCCCTGTTTCCCCATTCCCCCAAATGGGAGGGATTTATTTTAATTTTTTTGCTTTATTTATTTATTTATTTATTTTCCCTATTCTTAAAACTTTTCTCTCTCGTATTGCTGTGTGCATGTCAGACACCAGGGGGTGATGGCTGGGGAGGGGGGGAGGCAAGGGTGCAGGAGAGGGGGGCAGTTTTAATTGCATGACATTGCTGTAAATTAGTCTCTTTTGCTTTCGTTGTCTTTCCTGCCTCTGCCCTCTCTCTACTTCTCCTCCGAGCTCCCCTCCCATCACCCCCGTCCTTCTTTTCCCTCTTTTCTCTTCCCTTGTGTATAGATTTTGATGCTTCTGTTACATTGTACCTCTACAAAAGGCTGGGATTTCAATACAAGATAATAATAATAATAATTTAAAAATACCTATATCAGCAAAACCCATGTGGTACAAGCAGGAAGGGGATTACCTACACAAGATATAAGAATAAATGAAAGCAATACCTCTTGTTATCCTTCCTATTTTGTACTTTGAAGACACACACGCGCGCACACACACATATACAGACACAAACTGACATTATTTAATGGTTTGAAATGGACAAAAAAATCTGATGTATCCCTTGTTAAATAACTGTGAGCAACTTTAGTTCAAAAACCAATAAATTCATTCAGTAAAGATACCAGCTGTTGAGTGTCCTGTTTATGTCCATGAAAACAAACTCCTGACCAGTGCCACAGTGGGTAAGTACGGTGGCACGGCCTCCTGCACCCGAGGAGCTGAAGATGGCAGCTGAAGGAAGGCAGCATCCTCCTGGYCGTGGAACCAACGCCGGCCTCCGAGGAGCAAGGACCATGTAGGCCTGGCTTTCTGCAGGAACGCCTTCCAAAAGCTTAATCCAAATTTCAGAGCAATCGCACCCCCCTAGATCTGTTCTGGATGGAAACCGCTGTAACAAAAACTGTTGCGGCTTGTGATTGTTCTCATCGCTAACCGAGCTCCTCGTGTTGCCTCCAGATTTATCAGTAGCAAGGATCTCTGCACCCTCCCTGCCTGAAACACTCAGTCACATACATGTGAGAAAGCTGCTCAGGTACGTCCCCGGGTTCTGTGTGTCTGGGCTTTGTTGCTGGGCGGTTGGTTGGTCAGTCCGTGTGGCTGCTGGCTCCTCACATCCTGCTCTCCATCTCTTTCCTCTGGGTTTGTACCTGTGCCCAGCCATTCCTCTCCTGGGCCCTGGCACATCCCCAGGGAAAGCWGAAAGCAGGTGCTTCCCACACGGCTGGGGAGAGCACGGCAGGCCTGGGCTCACAGCAGGGCTGGCACTGGCCCTCAGGACACCCTGGGGCAATGCTCGCCTCAGCCTGGCCAGCTCCACACGTGTCCTCCATCGTGTCCCCTCTCCGGAGCTGCCCGGGCCAGGCCAGGCAGGGTTTTGTGCCAGYGGAGGCTGTGAGGGGCAGGCCAGGGAGGGAAGGCAGGAAGAGACCTTCTGGAAGGTTCCGTGGTGCCACCTCAGCCTCAGGGATGCTCTGGGGAGGTGAGAGTGGCTGGGAAGCCTCCACCCTGCCAGGCAGATGCCAGGCACCAGCCAAACAAAAYACACTCTTATCTAGGAAAAAGCCAGAGGGTTTATAGGGTCTTTGGGGGATTCACTGGTCTGCTAAAACTGGGGGGGAGTGGAAGAACTGACAAAGACGAGAAGATGAGAATCACAAGTGCTGCAGGATTTGGTCTCTGTAACACTGGAAACCCAGAAGTGAGAACTAGCTGTATATCATTTCCATCTCTGTAAGTGAAAGGATGTGCTGGTCTGGAGTGTAAGACAGGGGAGTGGGATTTAAGGGCAGTGTGGCAGCAGATATATGCTGCTGCTTTTTCTGTTTTGCTCTCTTTTCAGCAGTGTTCATGAACTTCTATGATCTCTTCATGTCTCCGTGCACAATTAGCATCCTCACTATTGCTAATTACAGTCTTCAAAAACTAAGAGGAAAATAATTATTTTKCAAAGTGGAGGACCTCATGCTTAGGGCCTGCCCACGTTTTTTCTGCCTTTTTGTTTGGCCACGTTATAATATCTTTCACTACATGATGTTACATTACTGTCCATAGTGCATAGGAGGGACTGTACTTCTGGCCAAACTGAGTTCAAATTTAAACTTGTCCTCAAAACACCCTTGTTATTTTATAGCTTAAATCTGAAGGCAAGTAGTAAATGTCGCCGGGGATTTTGGTCTGCCTGTGTGGCTGAGGTGGTTGGATTMTCTCTGCTGCCGGGTGAGGGCTATTGTCCTCATCCAAACCCCATGCCGGGTGATGGCTGATGAGATGCGGTGCCACCTGCCCTTAATTTGCTGCGGTTCAGAGCTCTGCAGCTTCCTGCCTCTGTTGGAGAGAACAGCTCTTTGGACTTGATACCTAAAAAACTTCCTGGGTTTAAAGTTCATCTGTCTGATTTCCTCGGGGTGAAACAACGCAGCGTAGTACCTYCCAGGAGTAAATTGAAGACAAGGCAAGTGTGTAATACTCCAGCTGGCATTTTCTGKCTGTTTTGCAAGTGGATGTTAGCTTTGTTTAGATAGGTGCGTACGTGAAAAAAATATATTTGTGCTTAAGGTGAACAGTTTTTAATTGAGCCGGTACGTGGTATGTGCTGTATAAAGCAATAGATGGGTGTATGCATCGAATGAGCAGCTGAGCCCACGGTCRTGAGGGTAAATCTCATTGCCACATGTCTGTCTGGGGGCCGAGAAAGAAGCTGGTGGTGTTGGAGAACACTGATGCAAATCGTCCAAGCCTTGCAAACAATGCTTGACAATTTCCTCGCTCGTCAGGCTGGCTTTCATGAAAGTGAAGGGAGCAAAGRGCTGAGCGTTAATGGCTCTCACTGGGCATAGGCAAAGACAGCGTTTGTAAAGACAATGGAACTGTGAGGCCTCCAGGCAGTGCTAATTCTGTGCCCACTGCTAAAGGCATGCCTTCTTTTCGGACGATTCCGACAGTGCATTTAAGCCAACAAGCTCGGACATTTTCCTAAATACCGCAGCAGAATGCCCGCAGGGATTGTGTTCTGTAGGGAAGTCTGCAGGACTGGTCCCCCTACCTTTGCTTTATTTCAGCTGTGTACAACCAATTGAATGTGAGCTCCTCTTAGAAGGGCAGAGTGTTTTGGTGAGCATAGGTTTAGCTCTAAGTTTCTTATTATAGAAAACAACAGGGAGGGAAGAGAGACAGTTCTTTAAAAACTGGAAAGTATCTTAGTTTTTTGTTGTACCCTTTAATCTTCTTAYTTTATTTAAAACCACTTCAACAGCTGCAGCTCCTGCTTAATTTGGAGAACAAAACCGCAGTAGTTCAACTGTCTGGGGATACTTGAGGCCACAAGTGGAAGGGAAACCCACATCGAGGGCAAGTCCTTTCTTCTTCTAAATGCACAATTTATTGTGAGGGTTATTTTTAGTGCTGTAATCTCGCTGAGTGCTGCTGAGAGAAACTGTGCCAGGCAGGCTTTGAAGRGCTTGAGAAATGGGATTTCCTGTTCCACCGGCTCAAAGCTGACTCTTGCCATTGTCACGAGCTATTATCGCCTTCCCGCAGCCAAAGGAGATAACACAGCTTCAAGGTCAGGGAAGACACAAGCTTCCATCAACGGCGTTAMGGAGGAGGAGTTCGCTGGCAGTCAGGGTGGGTGTTTCTGGTGCAGCCAGGGTCCTGTCTGGGCAGAGGGGCCCTCCCGTGGATCACAAAACCACACAGCAACCTGAGCTGGAACTCGGCTCAGAACAGGCTGCCCATTGCTCTGCCCCGCTGGGGTCTCAGTGCCTCCAAGGTGAACACTGCACAACCTCTCTGTTCCAGAAGCAGCTGCCTGGGAGAGGAGAGAMATTTATTTCTCTGCTCCACAGCTTCTCGTTGACCTGCTCCTTGTTGCACAGTGTTCTTTCTTGTGTGGACATTCCTAGCTCTGGAAGGTAGTGCTGGCCCAGCCCTGGGAATGGGGCACGTTTTTCTCCCTGCTGTCCAGAAAAGAAGGAAAACAGATTGGTCTAGGGAAGTAGCAAGCTTTGGTTTAGGAAACACTTCTAGGTTCTAGAATAACTTTCAAAAAAATCAGCTGTGTTTACTTTAAGGTCTCATATACTCTTGGAAAGAATTCTCATTGAGACAGCTGCTTAAAATTGCAGTGTCTGTCCTGGACAGTTCTCTGCAAGACATCCTCGTGCTTAAAGTAAAATCAGATTTCAGAGTGGATGAAATTAAGCTGACACAAGGCAGTCCTGACTCACACTGGAGTTACCTGGAATTAGGTTCCAGGGTTATRCTGTTTGTGACAATTGCCCTGGTCAGGTCTTG